CGGCTGCGCAGTCAGCAGCCCCCAGGTACGGCGAGGTCTCCTTCTGATGCGCGTAAGGCACCAGCCTGCTAGACAGAAGCGACAGTTTTGCAGTCCGCAGCCCCCCAGGGAGAGAGAGCAGGAGGAAGGAGAGAAGAGAAAAGGCAAACATGATGGTGATGATGATGGTGATGATGATGATGATGAGGTTGATGAGGATGATGATGATGAGGGTGATGATGAGGATGATGATGATGGTGATGATGTTGATGAGGAGGAGAAGAGGGATGAAGGAGGAACGGATGGAAGCCACAACTCTCTATTCAAATTTAGCACCCAACTAAAGGAGGGTTGGGAAGAAAACGGCATGGCGTTGGCGGCGGCCCCATATGTACGCAGATCGTACGGCACCTTTTCACAATGCCGCGTTGGTACAATCCTCCGAAGTGCACTGTACGGCAATCGGGTATGCATGCACAACTTGGGTGCGCACAATCTCGCGAGGTATTCCCCTCAAGGTTTCCCCCCTCGGCTGGCACGGGAAAGCGTGAGGGCAACCCCAGGCATACTTTCCCAAACAGTGCTTGCACTTGCACGTGTTTTTTATACTGCAATGAAATTATCCTGGCGAAGGACCCAACCATAAGCAATTGTTCGAAACGCGTTGTGGGTGCCGCTTTCGGCGGGGCTCCCTATGGGGCCACGAAGCGCTGCCCTGGGTGGGGGAACCGCATGCGAGAGCAGCCACTGGGGCCTTCGGTGGAGCTCCCTATGGGGCCACGAAGCGCTGCCCAGGGTGGGGGAAACGCATGCGAGAGCAGCCACTGGGGCCTTCGGTGGAGCTCCCTATGGGGCCACGAAACGCTGCCCAGGGTGGGGGAAACGCATGCGAGGGCAACCACTGGGGCCTTCGGTGGAGCTCCCTATGGGGCCACGAAACGTGTGAGAGGTGTGCCGAGTTCAGAGGCAAGGAGGGGGAGGAGGGAGGAGGGGGAGGAGGAGGAAGGAAGGAAGGAGGTGGGACGCGGGGCGCTGTCTCTTCAGAACGAGGACCCAACACCACAGGACGGTTGGGAAAAAATGCTGGATGGGTGTGGCGATTCTTCGCCTGGCGGGCGCCTCGTGGGCGTCTCGTAGGCGCCCCGTGCGCTGGGCCAGTGTGGCGAGGCTTGGATTGATGGGCGGCCATGGGCGCCACAGAGCATAGGCCACATTGATTGCACCACGTAGCTCACACCACATAGGCTGCACCACATGCATTGCGCTACATAGCTTGCACCACACAGTTTGCACCACACAGCTTGCACCATGTAGCTTATACCGCATATTTTACGTCAAATCCGCTGATCCGGCGTGTGAGTTTCTGAGAGCGTGGACTTGAGCTCGCTCAAGCTTCGCTCTGCAGGGGGGGGGGCGTACGTTATTTCCGATGTCATTTCCGACGTATTTCCGACGTCATTTCCGACGTTTTTCGGTACACGGGGATATTTCCGACGTCATGTCCGACGTTTTTCGGTACCCGGGGACAAGGGGGGTATAGAACACCCCACTTCCGGAGCCCCGACCGCCCAAGACAGCCCAAGAGGAAGCCAAGAGATGCCCCAGAGGCCCCCTAGACACTGCAAGAGGACCCCGAATCGCCGAAACATCGCTCGAACCGCCCAAGATGCCCCGAAGACAGTTCCAGAAACCTCCAAGACGTCCCCAGGATCCCTGACGACATGTCCCAAGAATGCCCAAAGACTGACAAATAGACTCATTCCGTTGGGAAAACGTAAATTTTCGGCATATTCGTTTCTTGGGCCTTCACAATGTCCAAGACGGCCCCAGAGCTCCCTAAGACACGCCAACAGGCCCCCAAGAGGGCTCCAAGACGGCCCCCGAAGGGCCCAAGACGGCCCAGGAGCGCCACAAGACGACCCAAGTCCAGAGCCCAGACCGCACAAGACGGCCCAAGAAAAAGCCAAGAGAGGCCCAAGAGGCCCCCTAGACGGTCCAAGAGGGCCCCGGCTCGCCGAAACATCGCTCCAAGCCGCCCAAGATGCCCCCAAGACGGCTCCAGAAGCCTCCAAGACGTCCCCAGGATCCCCATCATCATCTCGCTCTCACCCCCCCCAGATCGGCGGCACTGGCCGGAGGCCAGCCCAATAGCTACCACCAGATAGCTCGCACCACATATCTTGCACCACATACATTATCTCACATAGCTTACAGCACATACCTCGCACCACGTAGAGCGCACACTTATTTTGCACCAGATACCATCACATTTCCACGGAGTCGCGATTACTGTTCTGGGGTCCACGCGGGTCTGGAGCTGGGATTCGGGCCCTTTCCGGTTTTCCTCGCTACTGCCTGGGTTCGAAGAGGGGCTCCTTCACTGGTGCACTCCTGCTCGGGCGCTTGGCTTCGGCGCAGGATGGCCCCCAGAGGCATCAGCAAGTCGAGCGGGAAACGCCAGGGGCAAACCGCAACTGGCCCCAGTCCCCAGAAAATCGCAACCAGTTCCAGGAGTCTCCAGGTTGTCGGGGACCCCCCGAAGCTACCAGGAGGGGAGCCCTAGAGGCCGTGGGAGGCGACGGGACCCCAGGGAGCCCCCCGAGGCTCGGGCAGCCACCATCCGAGCGGCCACGAGACGCACCGGGCGGCCCCAGAAATACCGTCGAGCGCTGGGAGTCTGTCCCGAGGAGGTCGGAGACAGCCCCCAAGGAGTCCCAAAGGGAACCCCACAAGAGAGAGAACGGTTTCGATGATGGGGAACCTGCCGCCGAAAAACAGCAAGCGCGGTGAAATGTCAAGAATGACTGCTGTATCACACGTGAGGGCCCCAACCGTGCAACAGGCCACGACGTTGCCGTGCAGTGTGGCATCCTTCAGCCGTTCCTCGACCCCGTGCCGATCCTCATGCCCGCTCCAGTTCATGACCCAATGCGCTTGCAGTGCCCAGTCTGGGTGGGGACGTGAAGTAGACAAATGAGAAAGGAAGAGGAGTACGACAATGACCCGTGCACATTCGGGCAGAGCGCTGAACCGGACTGGGTCTTGCAATCGAACTCTTTCCGGTTGCGCTGCCGCGCTGGAACAGCGGCGCGGGGTTTGCCGAAGGCAGCGGATAGAAGCAGAGGTAATATTTCCATTCCATGGTCGCTGTCATACCGCTGGCTCTCTCGGGAATGTTGGACGCCTCCCATTCCAAGATCGCATCGCTCTGAATGGAAAACCATAAACAGCACGCGAGGTGATTAAACCACAGAACCAGCACCGTCAGACTCATGACGTTGACCATGAACTGCAGCTGGCTTTCCAAATGATGCTGCCGAGACATGCTGATGATCCTGTCATACATGTGGCCGAACTTGCCATTTTGTATGGCCCCCATTAGCCTGACAAGTCGGCTCAGCTTCAGAACGCGGAGCAGCTTCACGAGATTTGCCTGCCTGCTGTTTCGCGAGTCGTCCCCGCCTGACGCAGCAAGGATGAGAGGGAGGATCATTCCGAACCAGTCGCAGCCCACTGTCAATAAGTCGATCCAGAAAAAGGACCGCAAGTAGCGCCTAGCGATCAACCTGTAATCCATGACTAGTCCACCAAGGTCGTAGTAGCCTGTACAGAACCCGAGGAGCAAGTCACCCGTCCAGGCCAGGAGTGTAATCCAGTTGGCAATGTACCAGAAACCCTCACTGGCTTCGGGGGTGAAACTCAGCTGGTAGGGCACGCTCGCCGAGTCGAAGAGCAGAAATATGATACTCGCCATGTCCAAGAATATGCGCAGAGTGCTGTCTGGGTGGATCGGCGCGAGCCGATCCTTCATGAATGAAGACAGCTGGACAGACTCTGACTTTCCCAGAATCGACGAACTCAGCTCCAACCAAGCCGAGCATTGCCTCAACACTGTCTTCTTCTCTGTGCACAAGTCTATGAACTCAGGTCTCTTAAAGAAGCCACACACCATGCTGCCCCTCTCTTCGTCTGCTGGCTGCTGCTCCACAGGCACACCGAACCCTGCTTCAGAAAGATCTTGGCTCACTTGCATAGTGTCTGACTGCGGCCCCATGGAGACACAGAGGTCAATGCTATTAGCCGTTTTTGTCCCGTCCCTGCTTGATCGGTCTCCTGCAGATGGCGAGGAGGCCATCACGCCATGGGCGACACTCAACACCGCGTTGAGTATACGAGCCTGATCTTTTTCCAAGCGCGACAATGTGCTCTGCATGGTGTCCTGCCGAACGAGCAGCGCATGCAAGCTGCGCTTCACCCTCTCGCGTTCGCTCTCGGCGCGCCCATAGATCGGGTCGGGCGGCATATCATCCGCCTCCTTGCTGAGCGGGTGCAAGGTCTGCCGCCGAATCTGCTGCCTAAGGAGCAGCCCAAAAGACTGCATAAACATAACTTCTCGGAGGTCCGCGCGGATTTCGTGGACAACGCTGGACACCCCCGGCTTGGGGAGCGGAGCCCGGCGCGCGGAGCGCGCCAGGGGCGGCGGCAGAGGCGCCGCCAGGCGGGCCCAGCGCCGATCCGAGGACTCCGGGCGGATCTCCGATGACTCACCTTTAAGCTGTGTTTGGCTCCTCGATCCTGCTCTCCAGACCGCTCGCTTCGCTTCTCGACCTCAGCATGCTGGAGTCCGTCCTCTGGTGCAGCCTGGCGGCGGCATGCGACGCCACACCGCCGTTTAAATGCTGCAGCGGGGGCATGGCCTTGGCGCCCGCCGCGGTGCTCCTCCGGCCGACGACCTGCGCCGCAGCGGGCGCGCGGGCAGGCTCGAGCCACGGTGGCTTCCTCTTGACGGAGGGCAGACCCCCCCATAATAATCACCCCGACACGCGAAGCCGTTTAGTAAACGCACCCACAGAAGGCATCGAACAGGGCAGGGTAGTAAACGCCCAGGGTCCTCCTTGCCTTCGTCACCGTCATCGCAGCCGCCGTCGTCGCCGTTGCAACCGTCGCCGCACTCGCCGCCACCGCCGTCGTCGTCACAGCCGTCGTCACCGTCGCTGACGTCGCATCACTGGGGACCGCGCCAGTGGTGAGCTGCAGGCAGGTGGCGTCCAGGTCCGAACCTGGGTCGCTGTGATCAGTCGTCCCAGCCGCCGTCGTCCGCCGTCGTCGGCGCCTCTGTCGTCCCCGTCGCCGCAGCCACAGTTGCCCCCGCTGATGCCGCGGCCGTCGCCGCGGCCGTTACCTTCGATATCGTCGGCGCTGCTGTCGCCGCTTCCGCCGTCGTCGCCGCATCCGCCGTCGACGCTGCCGTTGCCGCCGTCGTCGTTGTCCTCCTCGTCTTCGTCGGTCGTCGTCGCTGTTACCGCTGTCGTCTATCATCGCCGCCCGTTCGCCGTCGCCGTCGCCGTCGTGATCGTCGCTCCCGCCGTGGCAGCAGTAGTCGCTCGTCGTCGTCGTCGCCGCCGCAGCCGCCGTTGCCGCCGCCGTAGCCGCCACCGCCGCCGCCGCCGCCGCCGCCGCCGCCGCCGCCGCCGCCGTCGTCGTCGTCGTCGTCGTCGTCGTCGTCGTCGTCGTCGTCGTCGTCGTCGTCGTCGTCGTCGTCGTCGTCGTCGTCGTCGTCACCGTCATCGCCACTCTCCCCTTTCTTTGGGCCCTCCTCCTCAAGCGAGCAAACCAAGCGGGAACCGAACAACGTCCTAATCGAGCCGTCATGACCGTCATGACCGTCGTGGCCGCCGTCGTCGTCGTCGTCGTCGCCGTCGCCGTTGTCGCCATTGTCATCCGTCATCCGTCGTCGCCGCCGCCGTCGCCGTTGTCGTCGTCGTGCTCCTCCAATTTGTGGCGGCCCCGGCGACCCTTGACGGCGAAACCGTTCTTCCGGCTGCCGAGCATCAACACCTGGAGAGAGATGGTGCGGGTATTTGCGTGGCTGGGGAGGAATATGAGAAGGGGGGTGCGGGAGGAGGGATGAGGAAGGAGAAGGAGGAGGGCGAGGGAGGAGGACACACGACGGTGCCCAACGATGCGTGCGAGCCAATCCGCATTACAGCACGAGAGCGCGCTGATGACGGGCAGTGGTGGAGGTAATGCTGAGGGCCCGACCTTCTTGACGATTGTGGACTGCGCCATGCAGGCGGTGCAGCAGGGCTGATCTAGAGATGAATTGCTCCAAACTGGCATCAGGGCTGGAGGAACGGGCATGGATCAGGGCGACGGAATCTATACCTATCCACTGCTCCCTGGCCAAGCCCATCCTGAACCACCAGCGGTGTATACGACACACGTCCGTGTGGCTTGGCCAGGAGGGCGCCTGCACAGCTCCTGTGTTCAGAATGGGCCTGGCCAATGTGTAGAGTTCGTCGCCCGATGGATGCGGGGACGAGACATAAACGCAAAAGGTGCGAAACGGGGGCCGAACGAGCGGGGAATCCACGCAGCCAATCGCGCGTGACTGCAGGACAAATCCGCCAACACTGTAGGCGTGTGTGAGACGTTTTTCCATTTGAGTCGTCGTCGTCGTCGTCGTCGTCGTCGACGTCGCCACTCCTCTTTTCCACTTGAGTCGTAGTCGTCGTCGTCGTCGCCGCCGCCGCCGCCGCCGCCGCTGCCGTCGTCGTCGTCGCTCCCGCCGTCGTCGTCGTCGTCGTCGTCGTCGTCGTCGTCGTCGTCGTCGTCGTCGTCGTCGTCGTCGTCGTCGTCCGTCGTCGCCGTCGTCGTCGTCGTCGTCGTCGTCGTCGTCGTCCGTCGTCGTCGTCCGTCGTCGTCGTCGCCGTCGCCGTCGTCGTCGTCGTCGTCGTCGTCGTCGTCGTCGTCGTCGTCGTCGTCGCCGTCGCCGTCGTCGTCGTCACTGTCGTCGTCGTCGTCGTCGTCACCGTCGTCGCCGTCGCCATCCGTCCCTTTCTTTGGGTCCTCCTCCGCAAGCGAGCCAACCAGACGGGAACCGAACAACGTCCTGATCGAGCCGACGGGAAGCCCCTTCCACTTGATCCCTTCCCCGCCCAGGGGTGGGGTCCCGGGGGGTTGCCAGGGGGGGCCCAGGGGGGCCCGGGGGTTTCGTGCACCCCCCTCCCTCTCCGACCAGGACAGCCCAAGAGAGCCTCACAGAGCCGAAAGAGGGGGAACACCAATCCAATCGAGTCGAAGGGTCGAAGGGAAGCCCTTTCCTTTTTACCCCTTTCCCGCTGGGGAGAGGTCCCGGAAGGGCATCGCTGGGGGCGGTCCCGGGGGGGGGGCGGTCCCGGGGGGAGGGGGGGGCGGCATCCCGGGGGGAAGGTCCCGGGAGGGGGTCCCAAAGCCAACAAGGCCCGCCACCACGAGAGCTCGCGAGCATCGTCGTCGTCGTCGTCCGTCGTCGCCGCCGCCGCCTTCATGACCGTCGTGGCCGCCGTTGCCGTCGTCGCCGCCGTCGTCGTCGTCCTCTTCGTAGTCTTTTTCAGGGTTGGCAGCACCAACCGTAAAGCCTTCGCAAAGTAGCTCCTATGATCGTCGGCCCCCTGCTCGCTCCCTAGAACGCGAACGCGTGGCTCGGCGTGGCCTCCCGAGGCGAGACCGATGACGTGCATGCGGGCCCCTGTGGGCCACGCGCCCGCGAGGGTCTAGACCGCCGCCCATCTCGCTTCCCGCCCTGCAGTCTCGAGTCGCTGAGGACGCACGCAGAGCAGCCCATCTGCTCCTCAAAACTCTCATCCCTGGCACCTGGGGCCCCTGGGAAATCAAGCGCTCGTGGATCGTAGCCCGAGAGCCGCCCCTGGCGAGCGAGACGGACGTGCGGGAACGTACGCAAACCTGGCTGGGGGGAGAACACACCCATCCTCCTCCTGGGCTCACCGCACCTCGGAGGCGCGGTGAGCCCGGGAGGCGCGGTGCCGATTCTGGTTCCGTTCCACTTCCGCAGCCGCCTTTTTTGCCGTTTGCCTTTTTCTCATACCGCTTCCTTCAACAAAGGGGCACTTTTTCTTTGGACGCTCGACATGGGTACGGGAAAAATGGGTACGATGCCCAACAACAGTTCGTGCTCATTTTGAACAGGACTCGCTGTCCGCGCCGCCGCGGCCTCTGTCCATTTGAGACAGAAGGCCGCCTGCCCCAAACTGGTGTCCCAGACCACAGGCCGCGGTTGGGCAGGCGGCCTTCCGCTGTAAATGGACACAGCCCGCGGCGGCGCGGACAGCGAGTCCTGTTCAAAATGAACAAGAACTGCTGCTGGGCACCCTACCCATTTCGTTCCGTACCCATCTCCTTCGTGCCGGTTTCCGGAAATGATGACGCAACGGCCCTGCCGTCTCCGGGGCCAACGGAGGTGCCTCCTCGAGCGCGCGCGCGCTGCTCCCCACGCAGCTGCTCGTAGCCCCGTGCGCGCCGCATGGCGCCCGCCAGGCTCCGCTCCAGCGAGGCTCGACGGCGGGGGCTCCGACTCGGGCACCTTCGCGTCGATGGCGTCGGTAACGCGCTGCGCGGCAAGGCGGGGATCCTCCCGTCAACTGGTCGCCAGCATCTCCTGCGCGAGGCCCTTCATCCGAATCTCATGCTGGGCCGTCTCGCGCGAGTCTTGGAGCCCCCGTCGCACGCGCCGAGCCACGCGGCATCCAAGAAGTACGCGAGCTGATGCCGAGGCAATCTGGGGGATCGGCGCGCTGAGGCCACTCAACTTCTGGGCCGTTCCTGTTCCTCGCCTGGCCCGCTCTTCGCTGTCGCCGCGCCCCGTGGCCCCAATGAGAGCTGCGGAGTCCTGCGCTGCCACGCTGGCGAGCATCGCCGGCCCTGCTTCTTCTCGGCGGTGGACAAACCTCCCTTTAGTAAACCTCCCCTTAGTGAAAATGGCCTGGAACCGAAACCGGCGGACCTGGACCCGCACAAATGAGGGCCGCGACGCCTTCTCGCGAACCGAAAACGGCCAATGCCTTAATCGACTTGTCAGGGTAGGAGGTCGATCCACCTCCGACCACTGAGGATGGGTGCCTGCGAGCATGGCCGAGAGCTCCTTTGGAGCCTCGGGTCGGCTGGGGCACTCGTCGGGCACGAAGCGCGCGGCACGCCCGCACGCGGGCACCCCAGACGGGGTGGCTGCGGGTGCGGCGCCGGAGCGCTGGTGCTCCAGGAGAGAGTGAGGCCCGAGAAGACATCCAGCTCGTTCCCGTGCCAAAGCTCCGTTGCGGCAACATGTCAAATATGAGCCAGTCGCGCAGCGTGTTCATACGGAGTGCTGCGTCATATGTGATTCAGCATCTCGCCAAGAATCCGTCGATGCTGCATTGAAGATCTCCTCTTCCTCCAAAGCTAGGTGGAAGCGACAATGAGACGTCGGATGGCTCTAGGTTGGGTGTCGAAGTGCGGAGCTGGCGGCGGCTGAAGGTCAATTCAATAGGTGGAGGTGGAAGTGGGAAGTTCGATGTTGGAGCCTGGAGGTCGGAGTGTTGAGCTGGTAGAATGTGGCGGTCAATGGGTGGAAGCGGAGTTGCACAGTCGGATGCTGGATGCTGGAGGTCGGACTGCTGAGTTGGCGGAGGCTGGACGTCGGTGGAGGTTACAAGCACTCTTCAGGGGAGGGAGAAAGGCAACGTTAGATCAGCTCAACCTCGTCATCACCCAGTTTGAACACTCGACTGGCGGCCTCACCTGCAGACTGGGGCATGTCTGTGCGCCTGAGATTGCTGAGCACGGCCCCGAGGAGCAGGGGGAGGATCGCGCGGCATCGCCGATGCATCGGCGAGATCGGCGATGCATCGGCGCGGTCGGCGTGGAGACCATCGGGCTCCATGTCGAGCCGCATCGCGGATACATCGGCGGCGCGTCACGATCCTGCGACCCCATCCGCTCGCACCCCCATTTCGGGGGTCCTGGAGCAGCGGAGCGCTCCGAGAGCGATCTGGAACGCTCCAGGGGGCGCTCCCTGCCCCTCTGGAAGCCGGCCCGGTGGAGGCATGCCCGCTGGGCCAACCTCGGCTCGACATCGGCCCGCTGACGCCGCGCGGGGCCCGTCGCGGAAGGGCTTCCACTCCTGTGGGCGGCGCGCAGGAGGGGGGTACCCATCGGTCGGAAGAAGTAGGTAGAAACATGGAGTAGGAAGGCGCTGGAAATAGATTGGGTTTCCGCACGCCTCCTGCAGAGGAAGGAAGAGGGAAAACGACTCGACCCTTGAAGTAGGAAGGCGCTGAAAGTAGATTGGAATCTGGGAATCCGAAAATACCTACTTTCAACGACCGGTGGGTAGGGGAAGGGGGGAAGGCTTCTTGGAAGGAGGCTGCTTCTTAGAGGGCGCCGGCCGTACAGTTGCAGACGAGGCCCGCGCCTGCTGAGACTCGGGCGTGCTTCTATTGGAGGCTTGGAAATTGACACCATCACCAACACAGGGGGTTGCCTCCACCAGGGAAGAATGATCCTAGAATTCGGTGTTGGTGGTACTCTTTCGGCCGCCTAGGAAGCCAGAATATTACCACCATCGCCGAGATTGGGATATTCTTCCCTCGGTGGAGGCACCACGCCGATGTTGGTGTTGGTGTCAACCTCTAGGCCTCCGATTCTAAGAAGCCTCCCCCCCTCCCCGTACCCCCCTGCGCGCGCCGCCAATCCTGGCCGACCTGGGCGGCCCCGGGAGGCCCCCCACGCTGGCCTCGCGGAGCTCGCGCGCGGCAGAGCAGCCTGCCCGGGGGCGCCGAGGGCAGGCAGGAGCGCGAGCCCGGAGGACGCACGCCAGCGCGCGGGACTTCTCGGGAGGCTCGAGGCCGGGCGCTGCGCGGGCGCTCGTCGCACGAGCCTGGCCTCGCGGACCGCGAGGCCGCACCCGTGCGCGTGGACGGGCGCGTGCACGCCTCCTGCGGGCTACCATGACTGGAGCAGCTGCTGCTCGAACCTCCTTCGAGCCCTCTCAGGGCGGCCCGGGGGTCTGCACCGGCTCGGGCCCCAGGAGATCCACCAGGTGGGGCAAAACTCCGCTCAGAATTCGTCCCGGGACCCCTCCCTGGGCAGATCTGGCGCCACTCTTCCACCCCAGATCCGAGCTGGACAGTCATTTTGGAGTCCCGAAACGGTGCGGTGACAGACCGTGCGGTGACCTCGAAACCCCAAGAGACCTCACCGCACGGTCCGTCACCGCACGGCCTTGGGACACTCGAGGCCCCTGTCGCCCGAGACGTCGCCGTGCGGTGACCCCCAATCCCCACCGACTCACCGCACGGTGTGGTCACCGCACCGTTTGGGGGCCCCGAGTCATGGGGCCTGACAACGACCCCCGGCGGCCGAAGAAGCCGAACAACCGGGCGGCAACGTGCGGCGCCGCGGCGAAGCCCAGACGGACCCCCCCCCCCGAGGGGGCGGCAGCGGGGCAGCAACGGGCGGCGGCGCGGCGAGACCCTGACGGACCCAGCCCCCGAGGCGGCAGCGTGCGGCAGCGCGCAGCGACGCGGCGAGACCTCGACGGACCCCGCCGAGTGAGCGGCAGCGGGGCGGCCACAGGCGGCGATTAGAGAACAGAGTAGCGAGCGAGCGAGCGCCGATATCCGCAACCGCGCCCACGCGGGGCCGCGTGCCTTGAAGGCGTCGGCGGAGGGGCCGGAGCCCCTCAGATGATGAAGAAGACGTTCCAGGGTCAGCACGGTGTCTATCTGCCGCGTCTTGTCAACTGAATGCCACAACATCATCGTATCGGTTGTCATTTGCACATAGGACCTAATTCCTTCGGGCAAGAAGGCAGGAGCTCCTGAGGGCAAGCGGACCGTTTGGAAAAGCGGTTGACAAGAATCAGATCGTCGGGGGTTTGGGGATGTGGTCACACGTCGGGTTACAGTGGAGGCCAGTCCCCAAGAAACCTGCCACAAGAAGCCCAACCCTGAGACCCCAGGACGTCCATTGATTTCTGGTGCGCGAGCGTCGCGCTCTCCATGGCAAAACCATCGAAGCCCGAGACACCCAGGGCACCCTGGAGGCAAGCAGGGTGTCTCTTGACATGGGCCTCCACTGAGCGGCAGACTTCGACCCCCCCCCCCCCGGCGCGCCCGCGAGGCCGCGACGCGGTCGTGGCGGGCGCCGTGCAGCAGCGCGCCCCGCAGCGCCTGGGCGGCAGAGGCTGGGCGCCCCGCCCTCGCCGCCGCCTCCGCCGCCCTTAGCCTTCGCCTTCGCCGCCGCCGTCGTCGGCGATGGAAACACGGAGGAGGAGGAGGAGGAGGAGGAGGAGGAGGAGGAGGAGGAGGAGGGGGAGGAGGAGGAGGAGGAGGAGCGGGACGAGGAGAAGGAGGAGGACCAGGAGGAGGAGGAGGAGGAGGAGGAGGAGGAGGAGGAGGAGGAGGAGGAGGAGAGGGACGAGGAGGAGGGAACTGGGAGGAGGGAACTGGGAGGAGGGAGCTGGGAGGGAGGGAGGAGGAGGCGGAAGATGGGAGGACGGACGGCGGACGGACAGCGGGCGGACGACGGGCGGCGGACGGCGCCCGTCGCCCGGCGTGCGTCGTCGCCCGTCGCCGGACGAGCTCCCAACTCGCTCCCCTATGCCTGCTCCGCCTCCACCCCCTTGCTCCCGAGCTCGACGTCCTCCCTCTCCTCGTCGCTTCGGCCCCCTCCACCTCCTGAGCTCCATTTCCTTACCTATATGACCACCCTTCGGGTGATAAGGAGGTTCGGGGGCGGGGGAGGAACCGACGTCTCACTCGATCGGTTTCACTATCGATCTCACTATCGATCTCCCTATCGCCCTCGCTCGATCGGTTTCACTCGATCGATCTCACAATCGATCTCACTCGATCTATTTCATTCGGTCGATATCACAGTCGATCTGACTATTGAGCTCACAACCGCAACCGATCTCACTATCGATCTCTCTATCGATCCCACATTCGGTATCACAATCGATCCCACTATCGATATCACAATCGAAATCCCAAGCAACGTCATCATCATCAACAGCATAATCGTCATCAACGTCATCAACATCATCATAATCACCTCATCACCATCATAATCGACACCAGCATCATCATCATCATCATCATCACCATCATCATCATCATCATCATCATCATCATCATCATCGGGACACCATCATCATCATCACCTCATCACCATCATCATCGGCATCGTCATCATCAGCATCATCATCATCACCAGCATCATCATCATCGGGACACCATAATCGTCACCATCATCATCACCAACATCATCATCATCATCATCATCATCATCATCATCATCATCATCATCGGGACACCATCATCATCATCGGAACACCACCATCATCATCAACATCATCATCATCCCATTATCATCCTGAACAGCATCATCAACACCACCATCATCATCGGGATACCATGATCATCATCAGCAACAATATCATCATCAACATCATCATCATCGGGACACCATCACCATCGCGACACCATCATCATCATTACCATCATCACCATCGGGACACCATCATCATCATCAATATCAGTATCATCATCATCACCATCATCGGGAAACCATCATCAAAATCATCATCACCTCATCCTCATCATCAACACCATCACCATCATCGGGACACCATGGTCGTCATCATCATCATCACCATCATCATCATCATCATCATCATCATCGGGACACCATCATCATCATAAACAGCAGCATCATCAACCTAATCATCATCATCATCATCACCATCACCATCATCATCATCGGGACACCATCATCATCATCCCAGCATCATCCCTTCATCATCATCATCAACATCATCAGCAACATCTTTATCATCATCACCATCATCGGGAAACCATCGTCATCATCATCAACATCTTCATCAACATCATCATCATCATCGGGACACTATCATCATCACCACCATCACCATCATCATCATCAACATCGTCAACATCATCATCATCATCATCAGCATCATCGGGACACCATCATCATCACCACCATCATCATCATCATCATCATCATCATCATCGTCAACATCATCGACATCATCATCATCATCATCCTCATCATCATCATCATCACCATCACCATCACCATCACCATCACCATCACCATCACCATCACCATCACCATCACCATCATCATCATCATCATCATCATCATCATCATCATCATCATCATCATCATCATCATCATCATCATCATCGGGACACTGACGGGACACCGGCGGGACACTGGCCCCCGGAAAAAAAATATTTGGTCCGGCCGCACTCCAGCCAGAGGCGGGACAGCTGGACACCGCGCGGCACCGTCCCCCGGAGAGGAATCATTTGGTCTGGCCGCGCCTCAGCCGGAGGAGACTTTCTTCTCGCCCGCCCACGCAGCTTCGCCTCGTCCGCACGGACGGCACGCACGAACACGAAACCGAAACCGATTTCCCGGTAGGGGGGCTCTCCGTTCCACTTCGATCTCACCCCCTCACCTCCGATCAACAGCTCCTCCTGGCCCACCTCGAGGCCCAGCTATCAGGCTCGTTTCACCTGAGACTTCCTCACCATTTATGATCCTGAAGCTCAAGATGTAGCAAAAACTTTAAACATGGAGGTCGGGCCGTTTCCAAAATGTGGCCCTCGCCATAGCACGGGGTGCATTCGTTTGAATACTTGCACGAGTTTCACGGATTGAGGGCGGGTCGTTTTCAAAATGTGGCTCTCGCCATAGCGCCGCGCGCATTCTTGGTAGAAAATGTTCAGAGTGTTGCGGATTGAGAGCGGGCCGTCTTCAAAAGGTGGCTGTCGCCTCAGCACCGCGCCCACTCGTGCTAAAAAGCTGCAAGAGCCTCACTGATGGAGGACGGCTCCTTTCTCGGAATGGGGCACTCGCCCTAGAGCCGCGCACGTGCGTTTTAAACACTACGAGATCTGAACAATATCTCATGGAGAGCGTGCCAGGAATTGTGTTGGAAAACGTCAGGCTTGTCAGAGCGCATGAGTTACGTTGATTCGAGGTGCTGAAATCCTGGGAATGGTGTTAGGCAGCGATTCAGGATCGTCAATACGCAGCAGTCGTGTTGATTCGTGGCGCTGAAGTCCCGAGAGTGCTTTGGCAAGCTTCAAGATCTTCAACGGTTGTCTCCCAACGGGGCGCTTCCCTCAGTGCAGGTCAATACTCGCATAGAGGCGGCCTGTGCAGAGGGAGCTTGGAGGGAGGGCTAATTCCAACATCGTTGATGAGCCTGGAGTTTGCACTGGACCTGATCCTCCTCCTCCTCGTCCTTTTCCTTCTCCTCCTCCTCCTCTTCCTCCTCTTGCTGACCCTTTCTGGGTTGCAGCCTCCTCCTCCCTCCCCCCCCTCCTCCTCCTCCTCCTCCTCCTCCTCCTCCTCCTCCTCCTCCTCCTCCTCCTCCTCCTCCTCAACCACCTCATCCCACCCCCCCTTGACTGGGAGGAAGTGGCGACGCGAGGACGCCGACGGCGAGTGCTCCGACGACGACCACCACGACGACGGCGGCAGCGGCCGAGTGGCGGCCGAGTAGAGTGGCCGCGGCGGCGACCGCCGCAGGGCCCCGAGGCACCGCGCCACCGCGTCCACGACGACGACCACGGCGGCGGCGGCGGCTGAGGCCAGTGGCGGCCGAGTGCGGTGGCAGCGGTTGCGATCGCCGCTAAGCCTCGAGGCACCGCTCCACCCTGTCCACGTCCTCGGCGTCTGGCAGGCTGCTCCTGACGTGGGCCAAGACGCCTCCGCGCGCCGACGGGCAGGGCGCCGCGCGGGCCACAGTCCGTCGCCGTCGCGCTCATGTTGGCCGTGGCCGTTCCGGTGGCTGTGGGCAAGGCCGTCGTCGTCGTCGTTGTGATCGTCGTCGTCGTGATCGTCGTCGTCGTCGCTCGTCGTCATTGTCGTCGTCGTCGTCGTCGTCGCCGTCGTCGTCGCCAACGTCGTCGTTCGTCGTCGTCGTCGTCGTTCGTTGTTCGTCGTTCGTCGTTCGTCGTCG